AGTCATAGCAGATATACATGTATATGAGACCAAAACAGCATTGTTTACTTACACTTGTACGATCACAAGTTATAATGGACATACATGATTCCTTCTATTCGAATTGGTGAACCTGTATTCAAAGACCACTTGTATTAAGAGACCACTTTTGCCTTCTCCTTTTAGTGGTCCCCTTAATACAGGTTTGACTGTATATGGGATTCAGAATAATGGGACAGTTGCTATTTCAAGGAAGATGCTGAAAAAGTCATATCACAGACATTTGTCTATACCCGTATTAATTCATTATTGATTATATATCAACTCAGTTTAATTCCTTATCTACATATTTTTAAGTCTTGTTTAAATCAACTACATCACAGAAATGCAATGGAACCAAAGGTCTTACTTCATATTCCGTCAGAGGACGAGAAAATTACAGTTGACCAGTTGGTGTGAAGCACGCAATGCGACAGTATCAAACCTGCACCCCTCTTTATATGTTGTAAATTGTACAGTATGATTCGATTAATAAATTGGATATTTTTTTGTTAAAACAATTCTGTTTACAAATAATGTTTTTGTTGGTTATTAATTTAACTACTCGATACTCACTTTTTACTACTCGATACTCACTTTTTATAACTCGATACTCACTTTTTGCTACTCGATACTCACTTTTTATAACTCGATACTCACTTTTTGGTACTCGATACTCACTTTTTGTAACTCGATACTCACTTTTGGTACTCGATACTCACTTTTTGTAACTCGATACTCACTTTTGACAACTCGATACTCACTTTTTACTACTCGATACTCATTTTTTATAACTCGATACTCACTTTTAGCTACTTCATACTCGCATTTTATTACTCGATACTCGCTTTTTGCAACTCGGTACTCACTTTTTATAACTCGATACTTGCTACTCGACAAAAAGAAATCCTCTGAAAGAGCGTTATTTCACGTGTTTCCGTGTTCAGACCCCCCTTTTTTTACCACCCTCTATTTAGATACTGAAGTGTACAAAGGTGATCGATTCCATAATAATGGAAATCTTGATGTTAAGTCACGTATATTAAAAACACAGAAACGTATCAATATTTACCAATCACTAGTGCACATCCAAAATACACATACATTTAAGAGTATTAATTTACAGTGTGTGAATAATATAAGAAATAAAAGTGACATCAATGAATTAAATAAACATTTAATTAGCTTACAAGATAACTTAATTGATAGAGAATACTGTAAAAAGGAAACAGTAAAAGTTGTAAAAAATGTATATTAACGAATAGTCTTTTAATATTTTACTTGTTTTAATTTCATTTGAAACAGATTTTTTTTTATCTGATTTGTCAAAATGACAAGTATGCATAATGATTTTATTGTTACAAATCAAATCCCAAAGCCCACTTTAACTCATTATGTAGAAGCCACAGCACTATTTTAAAATATCTCTCTGTGAATATCTAGACACAGATGTTTGATACCATATGCATAGGTCGTTATAATTAAATCTTGACCATTTATCTTTCACTTGTTTATCAAAGGGTACAACTGTCAACTTTGCTCAAGTCAGTAAACCATTGCAATGCATAAAATGTAGCTTTACAATAAATATACATGTTTGAAAAGGATCTATAGATTGTTTATTATCATATATCAGATAAGTGAATTAGCGATCTGTGAAAATTCTTTATTGTCATGTTTTAAATATCTTAGATACCCCGTATGGAGGTGCTCTTAATTGCAGGAAGCTAATACAGATAAGATGAATAGGTGTTCCGAATGAACAATAATTTAGCTTCCGAATATTCCTCCATAGACTATATTTCTAACTAATTTATATGCATATATATACGGCAACAAGCGATAAGGAATGTTATTTTGCACTCGATAATGTCCGCGTATTTATCTGTTTATAGATCGGTTACCAGTCAAACACGAAAGTTACGTACATGTAAGTGGAAATCTCGTCGGCTACAATACATTGGAATGCCCTCACGGTCATCGCGATGTAAAAATTGAATTGTGTGTAGAAATATTACGACCATCATTAATATTGGGAGAAGGGGTGTCCATTTATTTGTATGATGTTTAAATACGCAGCCATATTCCAATCATAATTGGATCGATAATTCTTATGACTCGAGTTTGGAAAGTTCCACGCTCTCTGCACGTAAAAAAACCTTGCTGTAACTCTTTGAGGGGTCCTTTGTTGACTAAGTGCAAGGTAAAAATTCTGCTCCTACCCAATTAACCCTCTTTTTACAGTATTCCCATACGAAGTGGTAAAAGAAATTCAGTTTGAAGCTACGACAAATGGAACAGAAAGATTTTGCACTTTACGAAATCCGTTCACCTAATTCCTTCAGTCAGAGTAATTAATAACTTTTTGAAAACAGACATTATAATTCAATAAAGAAGGTCGCAATGAAAAAAAGAATTTAGGCTACAATAAATCAAAGCGGAAGCTGAATGCTCTTTAAAAAATATTGTCACTTGATAATACAAATACTGAAACGATTGAATTAAATGTCAGCGATTTGGCGTGCGTCTCTTAAAACTTAGTTATAGCATAGATCTAAACATTCTTAACATTCTTTGATAATACCGATAAAAGCAGAGGGAACCGAAAAACCCAAATATATTCATCTTGGAGTTTTTTTTCCAGAACGTCTTGGATATTTCTATAGCGCCTTTTGGATGTGGCATACCTTCGTCAATGTAGTATCTAACTCCCATCATGAAAATTAAATAGTTACTTACCTTTTCCATTGTATACTTTAGTTGTATGTTTTTTTCATGTCCTTTGATAATCTTATAACCTTCTCGTTTAAAGACCTGTGGTCTTTAAACGAGAAAAAAAATCTGTGACATCCATGGTGATTTAAAAGCTCACCGTCACTTTCATAAACTATCAATGACTCAAGGATTATACAGAGACGGAAAAATGTCAAATGTTAAAAAAAAAAATAACAACAAAAATCTGTGACAACGATGGCCATCTTCAACAATGATTTAAAACGATCACAGTCACTGTAATTAACTATTTTAGAGAATTTTGCATACATCCGGAGAATATTTAATCATCGGGAAAAATATCATTTTATCTTTAACTATTACTTTTACTGTTTAACATATCATACCTTAGTTCTATGCTTATTTCAACTTTTTTTTGCATAATTTTAAAACAAAAACTCGCCTTAAACAATTTTTTTATTTAGAATACAGCAAATATAAAGAATGACCTTATGTATTTATTTCTTTCATTAACTCGGAAATAGATAAATTAAACACATATCAATTCTTCACAATACTCGCATTCAATAATGTTACAATCGAAGTAAAGAGGACGCGATTGTGGCTACGACAATTAGAACATAATTTTATTCGTGGTCGTCTGTGACCTGTCATTCCATAACGGGCCATATTATGATAGCTCCCTTGTAAGCAGCAACCTTCGATCAAGGAAATCATGACAGGAAACACAGGCCCTTGACTATCTTATCAACTGGGAGATATTTACGCTATAGGTAAGCGCTGCTTGAATGTTATACTTGGAAATGGAAAGTTCACAATTGGAAAGCTGAAATCATTTCTTTTGTCTTAAAATTTAGTTCTCTACTGACCCTCGTTATAAATTTCTAGATTCAAGTCAAGATATGAAGCATACCTAACTGTACCTGTTCCTTTATATTAAATTCGTTAGGATATGTGCGTTCAAAATATAGTCACCAAACAATATTCAGTGAGAGGGCTTCATCTATATAGGGTAACGTGAAGCTTATGGACAATGTTAACTTCGTTTCATTTTTCATCAGAAGCTCTTATATGAAGTCTGCTTCATATGAATAAAGGAACAAGTTTTTTAGAAAAAGAGCTGAGCTGGTTCCCATAGGAATGCCGATTGTCTGTTGAAAAGCACGTTCCTAAAATTAAAAAAAAACATGATTCAGATTGTTTTTTTTTTATAAAGTATGATTCATCCCTTCCTGAACCAAGATACGTATATCATCGTTGGCGATTCTTTGTGGATCAAAGTTGGACTAATTCGTCCAATCTATATTATGAGGAATACTTGCGTAAAGGGCAGACAAGTCAAATGATTTTTACTATTGCACAATAAAAGAGACTTGGATATAAATGGCATACAAATGTGCATCTACTTTATGATATTTATTTAAATAGTATTGAACAAATAAAGCCGTTAACTGAATTATAAGTTCGTTATCAATTAAGAACCAGTATGTTCAAGTAACATTAATGGTACCAATTGTTCTGCACCAGATGCGCATTTTGACAATAAACGTCTCTTCAGTAATGCTCGAGGCCAAACCATTTGAAATAAAATGAAGGGCTTTTAAACCAAAATGGACAAAAAGTATAGCAAAAGCCGAGCAAGGAATTAGATCTTAGCATGAGGAGATATATTCCTTAATTTAAAATAATTTTCAAAATTTTGTAACAGCAAATATTAAAAACACAATATCAGTATTTGCATGCCAGTACCGAAATACTGGCTACTGGGATGGTGATACACTTGGGGATTAGCAGCCCAGCAGCAGAGGTATCGACCCACTGGTAGTAATCACATTAACGATACCAATTTTTCTGATCAGATACGCATTTCGACAATAAATGTGTCCTCGGTGATGCTCGATGCAAAAATATTTTAAAATCCAAAACTTAATAAATTGAAGTCCAACAGCCGGTTGTACGAACGTGTCATTAGTCTAATGAGTCATTAAGTCTTCATTAGCCTAATGCATCATAACGGCTTAATGAGGACTTAATGACCCATTGGGCTAATGCCACGTTCGTACAACCGGCTGCTAATCTTCATGTATTCAAAATCTTACAAAAGATCGTTGACGTCGTAATTATAGTATTCATTGACCTTATCAGACGATGGTCGCCACTAACAATCCTTTGGACACGATAAGCTAACCATGCCAGCCACGAAATGTAATATATTTTCCAGACAAATTCTAAATGCAATTAACCATTAAGAGGTTTTCAGTTTTATTTTTTTTATTATCTTAAACTTAAAAATACAAGAAATGCAAATGGCTTAGTTGTATGCGAATGTTTGTATTGCATAGTAAACCTCTAAACGAGTACCTTTTGTATACTGGTCACAGAAGACAAATATGCACAACTTTACCGACAAGTATATTTCACTATACAATTCTCCTTCTTCCGGCTATGTACAAGCGAACACAAGTAATGAATAGAGTTTTAGATATTTGGTCCCATAACATCGAATAATGGTTGCGGTGAAAAGGATTCTCAGTATATAAACACACCGAACAATTGATTCCAAATTTGGTTTCATCGTCACCTGGAATAATCCAAACCCTAAGAGTAGATTATGGCGTGTCACAAAAGATTGAGTCCAGGCCAAGGTGTTCCACAAAAACTATTGCTATCGAATCCATCGTAAATTAACTAATTTTTAGTCATATTCCTCTAAATCCACCATATTCATGACAGTACTTGGTGATACAACTTTTGATCTATGAACAGTATTAGCAGTTTTGTTGCTTGAAATAACAATAACGTGTTTACTATTGTCAGAGGTACGTTCTTTCTGGTATTTAGGAACATTTCCATTCTTCAGTTGGTTTTCCTCTACGTTATTGTTAGTTTCAGTTTTGTGAATTATATGTCCGTTTGATGTTGTCTTACTAGTTTTATTAGCTTTGCTGGGTTGGTTTTCAAACCAATTATCGTCATATTCATCAATGTATGTATCTTGGGTTACAACACTTTTACCAGGCTGTTTGGATACTTCTCTGGAATTGCCACTGCCCATTTCGAAAAATTTCTACAAATGAAATAAAGTAATAGTTAATCAGGTATCTCATTAGTCGTTTCCATAAGTGATGCCACATCAAACGTACTTTATGTCTAAATGTTGTTAAATGGTTAGTTTAGATTATTGTGTTCTTAATTTTTGTAAACTTGTCAACGTTATAGATGAAATAAATACTGCATGACAAGGAACACGCACAAATACCATCAGATCAAATTTCATAAACGGTCGAGTTGTATTGACGTAGTTATTATGCCTGTATTTTAATAAAGTAAGCCGTAAAATGTAAAATAGCTGTAAATGATATCAACGTACATTTAAAAATTAAGCTCATTTAAACATACAATTGTGGATAGCAAGAGTATATCTAAAAACATTAAAATAACTTTTTTTTCTTTATATCGACACATATAAGTCGATCATCTGTTTTCACAAACATAGTTTTTCACTTAATGTTAAAACCAGAGTTAATTCAGATAATTATTTACTACATGGGCATGTTACAAACATTGCTAAATATGAAACTTAAAAACAAAATAAATAGATCAACAATCGTTTGCAAATTCCAGACCGATCATAATCTTGTTTTTTTTTTTATATGAAGTAAAAAGTTAGCAAAACCAACTGAGGAACTTGATAGTTCCTTTTATCTAAAATTACCCAAAGGACCAGAGTGAGTGGGTTATAACTTTTTTCAGTTTTCTCATTTCTCAAATTGCAAAAAACACCTGATATGCAATGTTTAAATAGCATGTAATATTTCAATACCATAAAAATAGTTTTTTTTTACATTTTGTCACAAAAAATTGAATTGTTTTGTTGGAAAATAAAGCAATACATATTTTCTCTTATTATATACAATAATTGATAAAGTTCGCCTTTCTTTCAAATTATAATAACCACATTAGGGACAAGAAGAATTTACGTAATAAAGCCACACTACTTATGATTTGATGTGTTGTAATAAATGATCAAAGTCAACATAGACATGTCTTCGGATAAACATATCCTCGGTCAGTCACGTTTTTGATTAGTCTCGATTATCCAGACGCTCCATATGCATATATGTAGAGTCTGGATCCAATCGGTTCGAATGATTGTGATGCGAAGGCGTGTCCAAATATGCAAACACGCGAGCTGGATTTTTTCGGAAACTTTCATGACTTGAGGTTCCCTTGCGGTAACACTAGACAAAAACAAACGGAGGAAGTAGCAAGCATCATGCCTGGTGCCGGTTGGAAGTAACATCAAGAGCTACAGACTGTTATATATATCTTATATATCTTATATCTATACAACACACTCCGATTTCTGCACGGAAAATAACGTTATATGCGTTACTTGTGCACAAAGTTTTGCAACTATCGGGGGGCTAGGATGAAATTTTTAAAAAAAGGCAGGACAGGAGTTATGACTGAGTAAAAAAATAGAAGGATGAGACAATTTGCAAAATAAGGCAGGATGACAAATTATTTATGTTAAAATAGTCAGAATACCATAAAAAAATCAGGACCTAATAGAGTGAAAATTAAAAAGGCAGGACAGAAATTACAACTAAAAACACATGTTGCAGGACAAACTGGTAGCTTCTATAAGTTATAACCCAAAAAAACACTATTATTATTTTTAAATGTATATATTAATATGATTATTATTATTATTACAGTTGCTTGAATTTTAGTGATAAAAATATGAAGAAAATTTTTAAAAATAGTGGTATAAATATTTAAAAAAACAACACATTTTTATCACTAAAATTCAAGCAACTGTGTTATTATTTATGTACAAACATGTTTAAAATTATATAATTATGCATGTGTTAAATTTTTAAATCTAGGTCAATATACATGTATCTGAAGTAATGAGCATTTGTAAATATACTTTCAAATACTTCATTTATTAAAACTACCTTTAAAGAAATAAAAAAACTGCATTATATAACTCAAGGACGTATATTGTTAGTTATACGTCCTTGTATAACTCAAGTACATGCATTACTTTTTTGTAGATATGTCTGTTTGTTGTTGACAGTCCCTTTACTTTAAAGTTACAATTTTGTCATTTAAAGATTTAATATTTATTCCAGATCAATTTTGCACATCTTGAAGAGAAATTAAAACAAACAATGGAATGTAGCAAAGTGGACATTATACTTGATGAGTGCTGAATATGAAGATTTTTTGAACAGCGGTATAATTACTGCATGTTGCTTTTTTTTGATAAATTTAATGATATGGTGAATCTATACTTGATTAAATGACTTTGAAATAACCAATAGAATTTCAATAACAACATGTACATATAGTTCATTTCATTTACAAGCTGATTTAATCATTTATAATGTAACCAAGCACAGAATTCTCGAAAAACTAGTGGTCCAAAGATTTGACCACCAAACTTTTTAAAGGACCGTCACAACTTTGGTTATTATTTTGCAACAGAAATTATAGTGAGGACCAGCAGGTTTTCTTGTAGGACCACCAGGGAAAAAAAGATTTCAAGAACTCTACAAGCATGCATTCCACAACTCACTGGTTAGTGATATTTTGGTATTCTAGATCATAGAAAGTTGCAAAATATTTATGATGAACTTATCGATTAAAGAAATATTACCGTAGTAATTATGTAATTTTTTTGGTTTGTTCCAACCACAACCATGTTTGACAATGAGTGAATATAATTTCATTTGTTTATAATTACCATCAATATTATGGCTGGGGGCTATTATTCATTATTTTGCCACCATGCAAATTAGAACAGAGACCTTATTCATTGTATACTTATTAAAATTAACCATTTATAATGAAAAATTGTGACTCAAAATTCTACATTTTATAACTATTGATTATTCCATTACTTGTATTTTTCTAGCACTTCTTTTTAACATGATGGAGTTGCAAAAAGTTACCACAGTTCTATGGACATGATGGACAACTAAAGGAGAATAATTTCATTTGTTAAAGAACAACTGAAGGAGAATAATTTCATTTGTCAAAGGACAACTAAAGGAGAATAATTTCATTTGTCAAAGAACAACTGAAGGAGAATAATTTCATTTGTCAAAGGACAACTAAAGGAGAATAATTTCATTTGTCAAAGGACAGGAGACTTTCCATGCCCTAAGATTTTAAAAGCTGAAATTGTAAGGCTTTAAGAAATTAATTTGTACTGTACTTTCAGAGGGCTATATAAAACTGAAGTCTGTGCTGGCATTCAAAGGTGGTGTTTAATAAATCAAATGCAAATACGCATACAAAATGTAAATATGCAAACACGCATAAAGAAACAATGTTATGTTCAACAATATGTCATATTAAAACTGAACACCACAATCACCTATAAAGGTAAAAATAATTTTCTGAAAATTAAAAAAAAAGGCAAACAACATTTCACTAAAGTTGTAAGTTAAGACATGTCAAGAAAAAACATTTCAACATACATACATATGAAATACACATAATGATTCCTAATTGGGTGGGCGGGAGGGATAAAAACGTGGTTTCTTTCAAAATTTAGATCAATATTATGTGCTAAACTTATCTCTTTTAAGAAAGATCTAAAGTGGTGAATCGAAAACATGGAGTACGCCCCGAACAAATTAAACAAAATGACTAGCCATTTTTAACCAATTTGTACTGTACTTTCAGAGGGCTATATAAAACTGAAGTCTGTGCTGGCATTCAAAGGTGGTGTTTAATAAATCAAATGCAAATACGCATACAAAATGTAAATATGCAAACACGCATAAAGAAACAATGTTATGTTCAACAATATGTCATATTAAAACTGAACACCACAATCACCAAGGCAACGCAATGCCAAGCACAGAAATCAGAAAAAAAATTGAGGACAAAAATATCATGGAAGTTTATCAGTTGGAAAGTTTGCAAAAAAGTCCCATTTTGCTTGAGATGTAATAAAGTTTGTCAGTAGAGTGTTTGATGTAGCCCCTGTAGCAAGAGGAAGCCCAATTGCCTATTGTACAAATTTCCGAGTCTGTGCATCCAGCAGCTGATGCACAAGTTGCACCGCCTCTACGCAAGCTATGAAACGAGTATTGTGAAGTATCCATTCCGCAACGCACTAAGAGTTTGTGAAGAATTTTGTCTATGTCTGACTTTGAAAAGGCACAGATCTTTCCCTTACTATCACTTAGACCAAAAGCGGGTTCTTCTGGTAGTGCAGGCAACATTTTTACCATTTATACACAATGACCTTTTTGATTTTAGCTTTCATATGAACCTTTTTAAAGATCATTAAATGGAGCAAACACTGTTTGAAGAGATGTGGGGTCCCATGAGACAGCAACTCAACTACAAAAATAACCAAAGGAACATATCAATATACAGTTTTAACAGTCTAAACCTAATGCTCCATATAGTCAAATTCCAAGCAATTAAAAGAGTAAAAGCATGCAGTAATTCTTCAAATACATAATGTGTGTCTCCAATTAATAAATCTGATCTTGTGTCATATCTTTTTAGGAAAATAAGATGCAGAGAACCATTCATGAAGTATATATATGATACTGATATTTACAATGTTCTCCAGAGCTATAACTCCAGCCCTTTAGATTACATTACACTACTATTGCTTGCTAATTCTACCATCAATAGCAGGAGAAGAGAGGAGATTCAGCACTATGAATGATCTTTGCAATTTGCTGTGGATGATGACTAAATCAAATTTGGATGCATTGATGAAATTCATATAGCGATGACAGTTACTTCATTGAACAAGAAAAAGCTGTAAATATTTTCAATGGTGCAAAACAAACAAGTTATGAACTATAAAATGATTAAAACCGTGTTGAGTTTTCAATTTGTTTAAAAAAGTGACAACATTTACCTAATGAAATATAATGCACACCAAAGATGCTATCATTTGGATTGATTGTAAAGTTTACATGTCTGACTGGCATGTTTTATCTGCCCTTGAACTCATGTTCATGGATCATAAGTCAGTGTAATGTTTCAAATGTTGGATCCTCTTCTAAGATACTATAAACAAAATGTCTATAAATGTCTATGTGGTTTATGGTATGATTGTAAGGTGTACAAGTCTGTCTAGCTTGTTTTTATCTGACCTTGACCTCATTGTCATGGATCATTAATAATATTTAACTTGTTATAAACTTTTCTCTTTAAGGCTAATAATGTAAATCATTCAAGCAGGCAACACATTTCAGCTTGTTTTAGACATCAATAACTTGGTGAAACTTTCTTAATTTTTTTTTCAAATCTTTAACAGAATTTTTTAATGATCAAAAGAAAGTATTCAGTGCAAAATATTTTATTTAATGTTGCTGTATTTTTCTGATAGGGACTGAGTTTTTTGCAATTTTTATATAAACATGATAAAGATTACATTCTTGGGTTTATGCATAAAAAAAACAAAAACAGTCCTAGAATGTAAAGAAACTTTGGCAGATTTGCTTAAAATTGATGTATGGAAGATATTGTTTGAAGCAAACTTTACAAATATATCTTTCCATTGTTCAGTCTTTTCATTTTTGCAGTGAACATTTACATACAATACAGTCTGGACTTACATTCTTTAGACATCAATAAGTTAGTTAATATAAAGATAAGAAGATGTGCTTATAATTGCCAATGAGACAACTTTCCACTAGAGAGCAAATGACATGGAAGTTAACAACTATATGTGACCATATGGCCTTTAACAATGAGCAAAACCTATATTGCATAATGAGTTATTAAAGGCCACAAAATGAGAAATGTAAAACAATTCCAGAGAGAAAACTAACAGCCTGATTTATGTAAAAAAAAACCACAATTAACGAAATACAAATATGATATACAGCCACTGAATTACAGGCTCTTGACTTGGGACAGGCACATTCAGAATGTGGCGGGCTTTAACATGTTGGTCAGCGTCCAACCCTCCTAACCTGAGACAGCGGTTTAACAGTACAATATATGAACAAACTATGAAAATCAGTTGATTAGGGCTGAACTCATACTGTATTTATACATCCCTACAACAAAAAAGAAACTAAGTACAGATATAATAGTACTGGCAGTTACTGACAGCTAGTTCAAAGCCAATAACAACTTGTAAAAAAATCTGTATCTAAGACTTGAGTATCAATAAGCACACATCCAACATCCAATGGATTAAGTGTAAAGACGTCATTAACAGTCTAATGTATGGCTGTGCAGCATCAAATATAACAACCATCTATAGGTACACATTAGAGGGGCGGATCCAGCCATTTTAAATAGGTGGGTTCCATATGTACCCATTAAAATGCATTGATCGTCCAAAAAAGAGGTCTGGATCCGCAACTGTATTACTGAGAGTGTCACCATATACTTATTAACATTCTGACCAGTCTCAGTGCCCCATACTTCCATGCATTGATCTTCATCTATAAAAATGGCTGATAAATGACACTGGTGTGGTTTTCTTAATTGTTACAGTAACAATTTTCACTAATTTAATCTTTAGACTTGTCAATGATGATATGACTTTCAGAATTTTTATGTATCGTGTCGATCTTAACGAGTTCAGCAATTTCCAACTGATTTCTACATTTTATTCTTACTTTGTGATGCTTCAGCACTTTTAGATAAGCTCTTATATGTGTGTCTTGCAATCCACAGCACGATTATGTACGCCATTAGCTAATGAAAGCTAGGAACATGTAATTCAGTAGTTGGAGAAGGTTGCTGCCTGTAATTTTTTTCTCGTTTATTATTTTGTCATTCATTATGCCGTTGGTCTTTCCTTTTGAATTTTTATACATTTGGTTATGTCAGGCATGGTTTAGATTACTATACGGAAATGGTTTTGCTCCGATTGTTCAGTGAAGGCCGTATGGTGGACTACAATTGCTTTAACCCACGTCATTTCATAGGTAATTGGGGACAGGACAATTTTTTAGCCCCCGCCCTTTTTCCAATACCCGTAAATTTTTTCCCTAAAAATTTCAAAATTTTCCCGTTTTTCTGTGTCATGAATATACTACAAATAACTTGTATTTGCTATTTACTATCAATTTCAAGTTTACTATCCACAGCAGTCATACTGATTTATTTTGATAAAATTGAGAATGGAAATGGGGAATGTGTCAAAGAGACAACAACCCGACCAAAGAGCATAAAACAGCCAAAGACCACCAATGTGTCTTGTTTATGAATTCCCTACTCTGTCTCCGTGGTCATCATTGACAAATTTCAGTTACTTTTTCTCTATGTTTTTTTTTTTTTTGCAAAATAACTACACACATATAAAAACAAATGGACAGCGCTTTTTTCGTTTCAAAACCAGTGACGCCGTCAACAAGAAGCAACAAAGGCATGTTTCTTGCGATGGTAAAGCCCCCTCGTTCTTTCCAAAGAAATAGACCGGGGCCTTTACCATCGCATGAAACTATTAGCCGTGTAAAACAGCGAGACAATGTTAGTATTTAGTGAAAAAAAATAAAATCTTCATCAAATTAAAGATTTACAATATTGAGGAGTTATATTAAATCTTTATAATATATATGTTAATGTGAAAAATATGCATTTTCAAATGCAACCCACCTCCCCGGTCGGATTATTTTCACTTGATTATATACAAAAAAGCATCCTGTTTAATTTGAGCAGTTATGTCCAATTTCTACCGTGTCAGGATAAGAGCAGAACTGAAAATTAAATAAAGGTATGATTAAATCTATGAGGTTTAACCAAGGATTTGTATAGTAACTATACAAATCCTTGGTTCAGCGTTCAAATTATACAAATCTAGAAATTTGAAAGAAACAAAATAAATAAATCAAATGTAAAACATTTAATATATGTTTGATACCAATAGTGACCAATCTGTTAATATATATAGCTGCTTGGTATACAGCTTGCAGTCTTCTAGAATATGAATAAACTATTTTTCGAGCAACAAATCAATCAACTTCCCAAACTAAAAAAAAAGAAAAATAGAAAAGGGGGAAGTAAAAGCAGTTCAGTTGTTGTCAAGCTATTAAAACACAATATTCGCTATTGTATTGATACTGACAAAAGATTCGTGTACCACCCCACCCCACGAAAACACAATTTTGTTGATAGAATAAACAAAGCGTGTACGTAATTTTACATGAAGTGGCAATGGCGTATCTAGAAATTTTCACTGACCCGCTGCAGTCTGCTCTATCGATTCCCTAGTATAATCAGCCCATTTTTTCCCACAAAAAAATCCGAGAGGGGTGTCAATAAGCTGAAATCAAAACTTGCTATTAATAAATAGTTCGATCATTCATCTTAATTTTTGATAGGGTGGAGAATGGATTCGAGATTTATAATGCTTTTTTTTTATACCAAAAAACAAAATATATTATTTTTTAACTAAGATTTATATAGAAATATTTTTTAAATCCTTGTTTAAGATTCTTTTATATCTAAAAACAGGAGTTTTACACATTCATTGAAAATATTTTGTTCATCTCCCTTTTCAAACAAATCATTACTAAATGCATCTAAATAAAAGATAAAACTCTCGTCTTTAAAATAATACAGCACGATACATGTGCTCTTCGACCATGTTGTTGTTATTGAAGTATGGGAGGAGTTTATTATTCAACATGTAAATGCCATCCAATCGCGTATTAGGAAAAAAACCTACAGATCGTAGTCGAGGCTCATGAATATAACAGATATCTCAACAATTGCTACCAGACGTTATTGTTCGCAGTAAGAACGATAACTCTGGTGCAACGAGACTAGTTTTTGATTTAAAATTATATAATGACCCATTCAAAATACTATGAAAATGTTTATTCGTATCTAAATATTGTTTTTATTCTAAAAACACAAGTTCAGAATGAATTAAATAGTATGATTATATTTATTGTGTTTTTTTGTGTGTATATTATCGTGATCAGACTTTTGGCACGATTTTAATACGGTCTTCTTTTTGACCCTTAAATATTTTAAAAGATTAAATGATATAATATATACCTTATGAAAAGTAATACTGAAAAGATTGAAAAGAAAGACTTTTTTGAACTTTTGTCCTACTAGGTAAATGGCTTTGGAAATTAATGAAGGCACTGAACTCTCGTCTATTTATTGATTGCGTTATATACATGCACACCGCATGAACCATGGACCACCATATGTAATACATTGTTGCTGTTTGTAGATTTCATCCTCAAAGAAAAGCAGCGATTCAAAGCACCATGGCCTTGTTACTGTTAATGTTGAGTTTCCGTAAAGTCAAAGTAGGCCATTTAAGTAGTTGAGCTGTACATTTGTATTCCAGTGAAAATAACAAGACCCAATTTCTAAGTTCCTCCATTTAACCTAGTATACAACGCTCTCCGATACATTCTTTAATTTTGTAAAAATATATTTCAGAAACAACTTTGCTTTTTTGTAGTCAGCGATATCATTATATCGAAGACGGAAAAATACATAGAAATGTAAATAAGATAATTACATTGTCACAAGAGTGTTTGAAATTAACTATAATGACCAATTTACAATCGAACTGATTATTGAACTTAACTGCTGAATTAGAAAAAAAATGTTGATAAAATAAAGAATAAAAATTGCCTACCTGATATGATAGCACGATTCATTTCGACATTTCTATATCAAGATTTGATTAAAAGGCATAATCATGTCTTTTTGTTTTTTGTAGAAACGGTCTATGGTCACACCGTGTGTTTTTAAATGTTGTATATAAGCACAGTCTAGTTTATGATAGTACCTTCAGCTTGAGTAAGGGTTTCTGCTTCGTTTGATGCATTGTTCCGTAACTTTAAGAGCAATTTGATTTTGTTCAAATATATAAAATTAGACATACAGTCTCACTTGAGCAGTAGAACAATACATATAAACAATGCCTAGATAATGGACAGAAATAAGACCTTTAAATAAAGTATCTTGCCTTAATGCAAGATTAAGAAGGTTTACTTAAATGTATAACGAATGTAATATGCTAATTTTGGTTAAACAGGTGAAAATTAATTAAGTATGTCCCGATTTGTTGACCTTTATTGATTATTTGATTTATCTTCACCAGTCACCAGTGAATGTCACGTGATGGCTGAAGCACCCCATATATCTCACTGACGGGAAACGCTGTTTAAAGTTGGAGGGTTTCACAGTCAAAATCTAACATAGACTTAAAAACAGCCGAAGAATCATTATGCTTTAATAGCAGCGAGTGATCACTCTTACAAAAAAAAACCATATTTAAGCGCATCAGGATTTTATCTTTGATTGTTTGAATGAACTTTTAACATCGTACAGTCAATTATAGGATTTTGGGAGAATTAGTTTTTGATAAAACAGCGCCCAAAACTTTAAGAAGCAGTATAAACAAAACTGATTTGCCATACTGCTTCATTGATTAACTCATCATGATATCTTTGCAAAGACTTGGCAGTCGCTGACTGTTCAACAGACAACATTTAAAATAACAATGATAATGCGAAGCTCTTTTCTCTTGCATACACTATATACTTTTTTTTCACGAAATATAGTAATTATTATCAAGGCAGGAAACATTGTATTCTTCCGTTATTTTCATTACTCCCTAAAAATACGAAAGTAATTAATAAAATACACAAAAAATTTTCAATCATAAAAGTATTATGATTAGTCAAGATTATGATAAATTCATATTAATTAAAATAATGAAAGAGAAATTACGAAAATTTTGTCTTACCTAAAGTGCAGCTACGTTTCTTGTATTTGAAGCCGAGATACTTGATGGAAATTAATATAATAATTATCTCTTTCCACAGAAAGTAGTTTCGTTCTTACAAATGAAAGAGTTCTTAAACATCCATATTTGTCGGTTCAAATCTACAACTTTACAAGGCGACCGTTAAGTACGAATATTGTCAGTTAAGTTAAAGTTTACTTTTTTGTATCATGTTCACATAACTTTAAACATTTAAATTCGGTACGTGCGATGATATCAGTGCCTTTGTATTTGGTGTAGTGAGGTATGTGTTAATCCTAGGTCGAATCTGATGGACTACGATCAGGAAACGTATCACCGAGGAATGAATATTTAATGTTAATTATTAAAATTCAATTAGAAATATACTACAAAGCAGTAATTATTAATATTCAATTTTGCAGATCACCGAAAATCGACATTTTTTTTTCATGTACATGTAAAATAGAATTTTCCGTTATTTTTCTAGAATACACTCTTTTAAAACATACATCAACTTATTCATTGTAAACTTAAATTTTCGAGGTAAAAATTATCGAAATATTCTTAATTAAGCTGAGGACAACCCATACTTTGCAAATTTTAGGGGGGCGCACGCCTGAATCCGTCCCTGAATTGTACAATAAAAAACCACCTTTTTATATTTTATGACATTGTAGACTTATTCAGTTTACCATACCACTTAATTCATGTAGCAGACGGGGATGAAAAATAAAGTCACAATTTACTTACAGGAATCGCGACTGGATTCCTAAAAAAACTTCTACTTAGTGGGAGCTAAAGTTGTCAAATAATTCGGTTAACATTGAACTAATATTAACTAGCAAATGCCTTAAGGAGAACAAAAATTACGTTCTTCTGGGCCTCGCATCCACCCAACGAAGATGAGATCCTATTCGTAATAAAATATGTGAATACCTCAATTATCCCTGAATAAGACTTGTGTACGCTTTATGATATGATTTGATATCAGCAGGCTAAGTATTTTTGATCCCTTCGATAATTATACAGACACTATCCCGAGTTGGTTGACCACTATGAAATATCTGTTTCACAGATGACGACAGATATGTTCTAATTGTCGTAACCACAAACCCGTCATCTTTTCATCGAATGAGATCCACCCAATTAGACTTATAACCGGTTTTGTACTTATATGAGCAACACGACGGGTGCCAAATGTGGAGCAGGATCTGTTTACCCTTCTGGATCACCTGAGATCCCCCCCCCCCCCCCCCGATTTTGGGTCAGTCTTTAGTTTTCTATATTGTGTCTTGTGTACCGTTGTTTGTATTTTGGTCGTATCTCGCTGTTGACATGACATTGTCAGTTTGTATTCGACTTATGAGTTTGTATACCCATATAGCAAATATTAAAAACACAATATCAGTATTTGCATGCCAGTACCGAAATACTGGCTACTGGGATGGTGATACACTTGGGGATTAGCAGCCCAGCAGCAGAGGTATCGACCCACTGGTAGTAATCACATTAACGATACCAATTTTTCTGATCAGATAAGCATTTCGACAATAAATGTGTCCTCGGTGATGCTCGATGCAAAAATATTTTAAAATCCAAAACTTAATAAATTGAAGTCCAACAGCCGGTTGTACGAACGTGTCATTAGTCTAATGAGTCATTAAGTCTTCATTAGCCTAATGCATCATAACGGCTTAATGAGGACTTAATGACCCATTAGGCTAATGCCACGTTCGTACAACCGGCTGCTAATCTTCATGTATTCAAAATCTTACAAAAGATCGTTGACGTCGTAATTATAGTATTCATTGACCTTATCAGACGATGGTCGCCACTAACAATCCTTTGGACACGATAAGCTAACCATGCCAGCCACGAAATGTAATATATTTTCCAGACAAATTCTAAATGCAATTAACCATTAAGAGGTATTCAGTTTTATTTTTTTTATTATCTTAAACTTAAAAATACAAGAAATGCAAATGGCTTAGTTGTATGCGAATGTTTGTATTGCATAGTAAACCTCTAAACGAGTACCTTTTGTATACTGGTCACAGAAGACAAATATGCACAACTTTACCGACAAGTATATTTCACTATACAATTCTCCTTCTTCCGGCTATGTACAAGCGAACACAAGTAATGAATAGAGTTTTAGATATTTGGTCCCATAACATCGAATAATGGTTGCGGTGAAAAGGATTCTCAGTATATAAACACACCGAACAATTGATTCCAAATTTGGTTTCATCGTCACCTGGAATAATCCAAACCCTAAGAGTAGATTATGGCGTGTCACAAAAGATTGAGTCCAGGCCAAGGTGTTCCACAAAAACTATTGCTATCGAATCCATCGTAAATTAACTAATTTTTAGTCATATTCCTCTAAATCCACCATATTCATGACAGTACTTGGTGATACAACTTTTGATCTATGAACAGTATTAGCAGTTTTGTTGCTTGAAATAACAATAACGTGTTTACTATTGTCAGAGGTACGTTCTTTCTGGTATTTAGGAACATTTCCATTCTTCAGTTGGTTTTCCTCTACGTTATTGTTAGTTTCAGTTTTGTGAATTATATGTCCGTTTGATGTTGTCTTACTAGTTTTATTAGCTTTGCTGGGTTGGTTTTCAAACCAATTATCGTCATATTCATCAATGTATGTATCTTGGGTTACAACACTTTTACCAGGCTGTTTGGATACTTCTCTGGAATTGCCACTGCCCATTTCGAAAAATTTCTACAAATGAAATAAAGTAATAGTTAATCAAGTATCTCATTAGTCGTTTCCATAAGTGATGCCACATCAAACGTACTTTATGTCTAAATGTTGTTAAATGGTTAGTTTAGATTATTGTGTTCTTAATTTTTGTAAACTTGTCAACGTTATAGATGAAATAAATACTGCATGACAAGGAACACGCACAAATACCATCAGATCAAATTTCATAAACGGTCGAGTTGTATTGACGTAGTTATTATGCCTGTATTTTAATAAAGTAAGCCGTAAAATGTAAAATAGCTGTAAATGATATCAACTTACATTTAAAAATTAAGCTCATTTAAACATACAATTGTGGATAGCAAGAGTATATCTAAAAACATTAAAATAACTTTTTTTTCTTTATATCGACACATATAAGTCGATCATCTGTTTTCACAAACATAGTTTTTCACTTAATGTTAAAACCAGAGTTAATTCAGATAATTATTTACTACATGGGCATGTTACAAACATTGCTAAATATGAAACTTAAAAACAAAATAAATAGATCAACAATCGTTTGCAAATTCCAGACCGATCATAATCTTGTTTTTTTTTTATATGAAGTAAAAAGTTAGCAAAACCAACTGAGGAACTTGATAGTTCCTTTTATCTAAAATTACCCAAAGGACCAGAGTGAGTGGGTTATAACTTTTTTCAGTTTTCTCATTTCTCAAATTGCAAAAAACACCTGATATGCAATGTTTAAATAGCATGTAATATTTCAATACCATAAAAATAGTTTTTTTTTACATTTTGTCACAAAAAATTGAATTTTTTTGTTGGAAAATAAAGCAATACATATTTTCTCTTATTATATACAATAATTGATAAAGTTCGCCTTTCTTTCAAATTATAATAACCACATTAGGGACAAGAAGAATTTACGTAATAAAGCCACACTACTTATGATTTGATGTGTTGTAATAAATGATCAAAGTCAACATAGACATGTCTTCGGATAAACATATCCTCGGTCAGTCACGTTTTTGATTTAAAATTATATAATGACCCATTCAAAATACTATGAAAATGTTTATTCGTATCTAAATATTGTTTTTATTTTAAAAACACAAGTTCAGAATGAATTAAATAGTATAATTATATTTATTGTGTTTTTTTGTGTGTATATTATCGTGATCAGACTTTTGGCACGATTTTAATACGGTCTTCTTTTTGACCCTTAAATATTTTAAAAGATTAAATG